AAACCGGAAAAAGAAGAATACATCACTTCACGCGTTTTCTAATTCATTTGGAACTCCAGAGAGCAACCAAAGTGCAGAAAAGTTATAAATCCAAAATTGATAAAGAAGAGCACTCCGTCCAATTTCAAAGCAAGCAAAGAACTCATTCAGAAACCAGAGGAGAAGAAGATCTTGATCAGAACCAGCACACCGGACAGCAAATTAGAAGTCAAACACATAAATCAACACCTCCCGCAAATAGTAAACCATAATTAATCAAACGAAAACAAAAGAGAAGCGATGGCGACCGACAAAAATCTCCCGCCGGCCGCCAGTAAGGATCAAAAGTAGAAAATAGAAGAAACATACTCCAGATTCAAATGAGAAGTGAAGAAAATCTATGCGTACCTGGATCGAAGAGGATTCAAAAACTGAAAACGCTTGCAGTTCAAGTTATGCAATCGAATTTGTTATGAACTTCTTCTGTGAAGGAGATGACTAATAAGGAAAAAACCACCTCCGCCGAATGCCGTCGGGCTTTATATGGCGGTCCGCACACCTCCCGCAGTTGAAATGAAAGGCCTGCCCCTTGGATGGTGACGTATTTACAAAAACACCCTCGTTAAAATGAAAATATTTCCCGAATTTTGTTTGTTGCTTCCTAAGGAATCTACGCCCTCAACTCCATATTCCAGGGGACAAAATTCCAACCATTTTTTATTCTCTCTCTTGGTAAACGTAATCCGTTACATGTCAAATGTTTTACAAAAATTAAGATAATAACTCATAATTATAATACTTAATAACTTTTGTAATTAGGATAATAAATGCTTGACAATCTGTAGTTTTATGTTTTTTTTTTAATAACTATTTCAACTACCTCATGTGCACCTCCACGTGGTTCATTAATTTCGGTTTATCGGCTCTACTTTCTTAAATTTTGATTTTTAACATTTCAGGAAAAAAAAAACCAACAAAACCAATCAAATATCATGATGGTTTGTACAATAATTGTTTTAATACATTATCGGAAGACATTCATAATATCATATACATTAATCTTTTAGATGAAGAAGGTTACAAAAATTACAACCATTTAAGTTAGGCATAAATTGACGACTACTTGGACTACTTAAGTCATATTTAGAGAATTAGTAGGTCTAAAGTACTCAACAAATTATTATAATTTTTTTTTCAATTTTCCTTCACCAACTTCCAAAGGGATAAAAAAGAAACCTGTAAATTGAAAATAGGTTCATTCATGAATATAGAAACAATCAATCTAGTCCTTGTGCTCATTAGGTCCCATTCAAGTAGAGTTTTGCCCCTCTGTCAAACACAAAATTTCTAATAGCCAACTACCCACTTGACATAATTCTGAAGAGAAAGAAATTATTTGTGTCACATATTATATACGTGAAAAGACTTTGTAAATAATTGGTCAAATATATAAGTCAAGGTCAATAATGGGAATATGCTATTCTTTATGATTAACCAACAAATTATAAGAACTGTAATGATCTACCCATCCACACATATATCTGTGAAGAATTAATTTTTTCCTTGTTGATAAAAAATTATTTATTTATGATAATATATACATATAAATATAAATAGAGAAGTAAATGTCATATTAAAATTTTTCAATACAAAATATATTTATTGTAAATTATTCATTAGGGCTCGTTTGATAACGTCCTCGTTTCTTTGTTTCTCGTTTCCAGTTTTCTTAAGAAATCTTAGTATTTTGCAACTAACTTTGTTTCTTGTTTCTCCTTTGAAAACATTCTAGTATAGAAATTTTGGAAATAATCAAAACAAGTTTCTCTTTTCTAGTTTGTTCTCATTTTCAATTTGTTCCAAAACATAAATAAAAATGTTGTTTTATCATACTTAAATTCTTATAAGTTGGAACCATACAATATATTGTTCTTCATTAAAAATAAAGAAATAGAAACCAGAAAGATCAACTTCATCTAACATGCACTTATTGATTTAATATAGTATATTAGAGTTGGTGTTCTCTAGTTAAAAGGGCAGAATTGAATAAAATGTAACTTCAAGGGCCATTTTTGGAAAATGACAACTCAACAAAGATTAAAAAATATGTGTGTGTATATATTTTTGAAACTATAATATACTACAAATGGCCACACAAACATGTCTTGATTTTATATGTTTTGTACATATATTTGTATAATGACGTAAGCTATAAGTCACACTAATTGAAAATGTGAAACTGTGAATTTAGGGGTTAAGCTGTTAATTATGACCAATATTGAAAATATAGAACTACAAATATAATTTATATAAGAATTATTTACAGCAAATATTGTTACTTTAAAAGTTGTTTCTTATTTTAAATTAGAGAACATAATAAAGCACAATAAATTTTCCACAATTTATCCTATTTCTTCGTTATATAAAATAATCACAAAACTATTATAGATGGATTAAGAGAGAAATTAAAGCAAATCAATGAAATGTTGTTTTTTTAATTCAATTAAAAATAGTTCAAACAAATCACATAAGCAAACTCACAAAACAATTTACATCAAAGTTGATTAGATTACCTTAGGTTAATGCAAAAATTTAGCTCACTAAAATTACCACGAAATTGCAAAATAGAAAGATTACATATGTGGTGCTATCCACACCATTAGAATTGAAGTTGTGTACCTACTAATTTTATTAGGATATTTTTTTATAGGGATAATTCCGAAAAAAAAAATCTATTAAAATAAAATAGATTTTTTTCATATCCATTCTAGGAACGTCAAAGTGCAAAGAAGGAATGGAGTGGATGAAATTGACAATATACTTTGGTATATTAATTTCGTAAAAAAAGAAAGAAAAAAAACGTTGGTCAAAGAGATAAATTGGGAGTGAGTGGAAAGAATGGAGAAGGAAGAAAAATGGGAAAAGTTATTTGGTCAGAGATTAGAATTTGAATGCCCACAGATTTCATGAAGTGGGATTTACAAAGTACCAATATTTGCTTATTCGTACCGTAGATTTGAAAAAATGTACCTTCAGGCTTCAGGGCTCCAACATCCGCTCAACTAACCTTTAAAAACGACGTTGTTTCAATCGCGTTCTGACTTTATTATTATAATATATTGGCCAAGGCGATGTTCAAAATTGCACAACTATAATCTAAACTTTAAAGGAATTAATTAGCTCAAGTTGGGGTTTCTTTTAATTTTGTTGGCTTGTGATATTGGAATTAAAGATTTTAAAAGGAAGACTTCAAAGTTAGCTTTGCAAAGCTCATGAAGTTTGAATATGGTCTTCAAAGGAGTTGCTTTCGATTCCAATTTTCCATTATTGAGCTTGACTCTAATTAGTGGGCAGGGGGCAGGGGCAGGGGCAGGTTAAAGAATTTTCAATTGTTGTAAAATTTTTATAAGAAA